AAATAGCAAAGGGACAATTAGAAACAAACATAGCCCTGGATCGTATTCAAGCCTTTTTTGCATCCAAGGAGTGAAGATGTAGCTCCAACTTCCCCCCAGAATTAGTATTGTAGTTTGATATTTAGTTTGATATCATGTATATACTATATGTGCCCTATGTTTTACCTTTCTAAGTTGTTTTATAGCAAATTGCAAATATAATGAGTGTAAAAAACAGAAACTGTTGAGTGAGTGAGTGAGTGAGTGATCATTTTAATGTCCAGGAGGGCAGCACTCCATCAGGAAAGGGGAATGTTTGGCTGTTGTAGAGCTGTTCCCATGTCACCGGGATTGTGCTGTCATGAGCAACATGTTGGCCGCGCGATAATCCTGACAGGATTCACCGAAGTTGACACCTGTGGTGTTTAGCCTTTATGGAGTCTGACGTGTGCCATTGCTGTCAACATTGTGCTCTAATGAGAGCTGCTGACAGGTGTCATACGGTTCCACTTGCTGCTACTGTTGTTTGAGTATGTTACATGCATCAGATGGAGCAGAGATGTATACTAAGTATATGATGAAATAGTGGACCCTTCTTGACTCTGCTCTGTGTGGTACTGTTGGAATTATGTTCAGATCTCGCTCGCATCATGACGTGTCATACGTTATCTTATTATATTCGAGTTTTTTGTAGTATATATTCTTATTGTAGCTAGTCGTAATCTTCACACGATTGCCCTTCGGGCACCCTCCTCTTGCCCGGGACAAACGTGCTGTGCGTCGTTGCAAGCCCGTGCGACCTTGAATTTCTACACAATTTATTGGAATCCGGAGGATTCCCGGAGCACCGCAAGACACGGACATGACAAGTGGGGCGCAGCGGGGCAGTGGCGCAGAGCGGGAGAAGCAGAGAAGCATTGGTGCTATACAGACGGTCAAGCCACTGCTTATCCCTCATTTGTTTGTACCACGAACGAAAGAGGGTAAGCAGCCGTTCTGTTGATATGTTATGGACATTACTCACCAGTATCCACAGTCTAATAAACCTTAGGTAAATCACAGCTCATTTGTTTGTACCACGAATGAAAGAGGTCTAATATACCTTAGTTTCTAACAGGTTATGAGCACCCTGCGCTTTGCGCAGTCTATTTGATAGACCCGTGGTACTGGATGAACCTTAGCCTTGACCCGGCTAGTTCACCAACGTTTCACAATTTTTGTCAATCTCTACTCGAGAGCATTCGCCCTCGGGAGATGTTGGACCCTTTTCAGTTCGGAAGGGTGGCAGAAGGGGCGGCAGTACGACCTGGTGAGGCCACAACGATGGACCTCTCAGGTGAACCAGCAGGTGACACGTCTAACATACTTCGTGTCCCCCCACCCCGCTCCCATCACTTCTCATTCGGAACCACCGGACTTCTGGATTCTGGCCAAGCTACTCTCTACGAGGCGTATGTGGACTCTACTCGCAGAAACCCCGACAATGTCACTCGACGTGCACACCATGCAGAGTCAACACCTACATCCGCCCGACAAACAGTCGAGGCAACAGCCAGAAACAGACGCACACACGCATTACGTGCAGAGTCACACCACGGGAGCCTGTCTCGATCGCCGTCCCCGACGACGGACGACAAGCAGATTCGCCAAAATGCGGCTAGAGATGCCGCGACGTACAGATCTCCTCGCAATGTCTCACAACCTTCCTCTTGTCACCCTTCTCAGACCCAACAGCAGGAGATGTCGTACTACCCCAACGGTTTTCCTCAGCCGCTGGGTACTCAGTACACACCCAGGGCCACATTGCAACCAAGCGCCTCTCGTGCGCAACAGCGACCATACGCGGCGACCCATCCAGCTGCCCCGTACGCTCGCCAACTAACGTATACCGCGCCGGCCCCTACCACGCAGTACATACAACCGCCGGTATACTCCACCAGGGGTAGCCGTAGATATGTACCAAAGTTAGATGGATTTTGGCACCCAACAATTTTGCAAAAGAGGTGGATCCTGTGAATCTGGGTGGGGTTGTGGATCTATCCAAATGCATCAAAGCCGTGTGACCAATATTATTATGGATCTTGATTTGGCTGGAGGTGACAAAAGTGTGGATCTTGGATTACATAGCACATGCAGCAATAGCGTGTGAATTTCCCAATGTAGCTGCAAGCCAGACAAGTTTGGTCAAACCGTGGATCATTAACGTGAGACACATCCATGCCGCGGGTCGCAGCTACAGTGTCCCTGATTGGCTAGCTACATGTAGACATAGGTAGGCCATATATGACATCTTATTTTATTGACATTTAGAGCACTTCGAGTGTCAAAATTGGATGTGGCGCGTGTTGTAGCGCTGCCCTTTAACATGGACAGATCCACCCAATTCGCAGTTCAGTTTCGCTTCCTTTTTTTTTGCTTTTCCTTCCCTCCCTCCCGCCCTCCTTGCCATTTGCGATTGCTTCACCAAATTTGAGGTAAGCAGCATGACTCTGTCACATAGCACTAACACTTTCTCCCCGTAGATGGCCGACAGCGATAACCGCGTCGTCGAGCAACCTCACCTCGCTCACCAAGCAGCGGCAGTAAACACCAACAACGGTGTTCCCGTGCCTGTCACGGTAGCGAGCATTGATAGCACCCATGCGTCCACCATAGCAGTGACTACCAATAGCGCTCCCGCACCCGCAACGGCAGCAAGCACCGATAGTGCACCTGCGCCAGCCACCGTTTCAGGCGCCGATAGCGCACCTGCGCCTGCAGCACCAGCGACCACTGTTAGTGCTCCCACACCCACCACGACCGCTGGTGCCGCGAGAACTCATGAAGCTGTGCCGCCTGTCCGCAACGGCTTGAAGAAGACGTTCCAGCGCCACCCCGAAGACCCCCTCTTCTACGTTGAGTTGCTCACAAAAGGGTGGGCACAGGGACGCATCCGAACGTTCATGGACGATCACATTGAAGGTTATCGCGTCGCACGCTCCCAGACATACTCGCGCGTTCGTGATTACATCAACACCACAACAAACGAATTCTTCGAAATGGTGCCTTGGCGTAACAAGGTTTCCGACCCCATTCCTGACGACTATAACCCTCATGCCATGGAACACTTGTCCGAGATCGAGGAAGATCAAAAAGCGCACAAGATCGAGTCAATTAAAAATGTAAGTTCTTTCCTGTTCGTGTCTTTCCTTTCCCTGTGCAGCCCTCTCATGATATCACCATTTAGTCCATCAAATCCTGGCTAGATCGCCGGATCGACGGTAACAAGCTTGCAGGCCGCCCGAGCAGCAAGGAGAACAACGTCTGGACACGTCTTCTCAAGCAGCTGTCGGGTGTTCCTAGCGTGAAGCCTAAAAAGCTCTCGGCCGTTCAATTCTGGTCCAAGGCGCATTACGCATTGGTGGTCAAGGCCGACTGCGATGCTCGCTGGAGACAGAGAAGGGAACACTTGGTGCCAGACAGCGCTCTCAGTTCCGCGAGAAGATCACCTCTGAGTACTTCAACAAGCTCTCCGATAAGGAGCAGCTCGATTGGGCAGAGAAGGCGAAGGCGGACCACGCCCGCGAAGTCAGTAAATGGCACGCGGCTCTTAACACCCCCGTTGACACGGCTCCTGAGGCTCGACAGATGTACGTACTTCGTGGTCTCTCATTGTGCACATTACTGATTATGTTATTTTATGTTATCAAGTGCTATCGACACCCTGAACGTGTTCCTGTCTCCCATCCTCAACGAAGTCCACGCAGCCACTGGGTTTCATATCACGATGTTTCTATGCGGGCCAGAACCTCACAAAGGCGGCCGTCTCAACGTCATTGGGTGCGTTAGCTTCTCTCTTGCACTATGGTAGCGGCATTTCTAAGCCCAACCCTCAGGATGCATTGGGGGACGCACATCGCCCCATCTCCGCAAAACTGGCCTGCTGCCCAACCTCAGTCGCATAAACTCGCGATCAAGCATTTTTTAGATTTTGTAGAGACCTGTTTCAGTAAGTTCATCTGCTATTTTGAAACATTAGTTAACAATTGGTACTTTCAGCCAACGAGATGAAGGCGCAATCTGCTCTCAAAATGAACAGCGCGTCGAATATTCCAGAAGCACTGCGCACTGCTGGCATGGACAAGGATGGCGTGAAGAGCACCACCCACGAGGCATCTGGATCCTCTGATTCCATCAATCCATCTTTGGCAGCGCCACTTCCTTGTTCTGACGAGAACCCCGCTCGATCTGCGCCCTCTCGAACCAGCCATGACGTTAACGCTTCCATGCGGAAGACTGGGCAGCAGTCAGCAAAAACCCTGAAACATAAAACCGCGCCAGCGGCATCGACTGCGCCCGCTCCCCCGGCTCCAGGTCCCCCGTCCGTTACAAAACCTGCCGCATGCAAAAAGCCCACGCGCAACATGACCTTGCAGCCAGCCAACCTCCCGAAGCCGTCTCGAGGCAAGCGCAAGCATGTGGTGCCCTCTAGTGTTTCTGAGGAAGAGGACGCGACGTTAACCGGCTCCGAGAGTGACAACATCAGCAACAACGAGGAGAGCCTGCCTGTCGAGAAGATCTACAACACCCGCCATTGCCGTATTCAGGCCCAGGAAGACCACTTGCTGTCTCAGACAGCCAAAGGTATGCACTCTCTTTGATTCATTTGACGTCGATTAACAGTTCTTTAGTTAATACTCCAGCTGTGGCTAACCATGGTGACGTGTAAGTGATTCAGTATCCTGGCTTCAATTCCTCATTTGCCTCCTTGTTTGCAGTTCATCTGAAACCCAACCCACGACCTCCCAAAAATCCATGGACAACGGTGCAGAAAGGTAAGCGACGCGTAGCACTTAGATATTATTCGCAGTTACTTATTGTGTCACACAGGTCTTTGAATGATAACAGCAGGAATACCGTTGTCAATACTCCGTCAGTACTTTAACTTCATCTTCAGACACTGCTTACGCCATTCTCAGACGCGACCACGGCTCGGATAGTGCTGTTGTCCACGCCGCTGGTGAGTTTTACTCGTTTTTTCTTTTGTGATTGATATATCCTAACAAATTGACCTTGTCTTGCCTTGTTTCGACAAGTAGATCCTCGCACGGGTGTGGAGGGCACCGCGAAGACTCCTATGAGCAGTCTACAACCCCTCAACAATGCTCCTACCTGGATAAAGCACGTGCTTACGTACTTAAGGCTCCTGGATATGCTTCTGCCCGACGATCGTCGCAAGATTGACCGCGGTGCATCTGCCACGATCGGAGAACAACAGGGCTGGACTCTACCGATCCTGTACTCGCAGCTTCTCGACGAGTACTTGCTCCTTGAGCACTCCTCCAACTTCTCGTCTCTGCAGGGTCCGGCTGGCAGGTTGGACTCCAAGGAGAGGCCAAAGGAGGTTCATTGGTGGATCGCGCGCAAGCAACTCATCACAGTTCGTCCCTCCATTCCTGAGGTGGAGCGGTTCGCGAGCCAGTGGTGGAAGTGGTGGGTTTCCCTTCAGCCCGACTGGCGAGGTGTTGCGGCACCTTCTGGCTCTTCCCCCCCTCCCCTTCCTCGCCATGGCCGTGATGGGGACTGGTCCACCCTCGACAAACCCGGAGTGAACGGATTCACATCCCTTGTTGTCTGTCTGAAGTGGTGGGGGGCAGAGACCGCGCTCGCAAGTAAGGACCCTTTATGGATCGCTGCTGTCGAAGATACCAAGTGGGTAATGAGCTGTATACGTTGCTCTCGCTCTTGGTAAGTCATTCTCGTGTCTATGTACCTCCAACAATATGCCTAAATGATATGCCTTTTTTTTCATAGGCGTGATAACCCGGCTGCAAAGGAACCAAAGGAGAGGGCTACCAAGCGTCAGCGCACTGTCTGAGATCTATCACCATACATCATGTCTTGGTATTTGAATACTTTTTGTTGTTGATCACGCATGTACGAAACATCATAGCTTAGTAATGAATTGTCTTGTTACAGTGATATTTTGTGATAGGCTGCTTTGGTTGGGCTATCTATGGAAGCGATTCAGTGCAACATTTGAACTTTTTGGCAAAGTTCGTAAGCTATACACTTCGTGCTACTCGGTTAAGATTCAAGTGCAAGGTACATATTGCCATTACTGTAATGGAAACCCTGACGCCGACGCATCCCTGTGCCCTGACTGATTATTCGGACACGATGCATGATCGAGAAGGAGATGTATTTCGAATAGCAGCGAAGGTGGATTTGAGGATTGTCGTCCTCCAAACCATGAGGCGTTGAGGGTTCTTCCTTTGTTTTGATCATAAGAAAGAAGCAGGCTTGAAGAAAGTTCGATCTAGTATTATTCGGTTCATCATTAGGGTTACTGATATTACTCTATTCACACAGAGCGCTTGCGCTGGTGTGCACGGCGGCGTTATGCGGTGACACTCACATGGCTGAACATTTACTAGATTAGTCTTCCATTAATTTGCCTTCATACATGGCCGCAGCCCATGGGCAAGGAACACACTTTCGCATATTGGCCGTAATTAATGCATATGATTGGCCGATAACGCGGAAACATCCTTTGAGCTTGCACTCCCTTGCTTCTATCGCAGCGCAAGGACAACCAGAATTTCAATTAAACACGCGTGTAGTTTACATTGTGAACTCAAAGCATGGAAGCTCTGAAGCTTTAGGGCTAAGACTTGGCGTTGGGTGGGTAGCCCTTCTCTTAGACTTTTTATGGCCATCAATGTTCTACACAAATAAGGAGCAGAGACAAGAGTTTAAACTGTAATATTACATGCACAACGCTACAGCAAGCTGTATCTACTGAGGCTCGGATTGGTACAGGAACATCTCGCACAATAAACAGTCGTACATTTCGACCACACCGCCATTCAAATGGTTTAGTAAATCCTTGACTATAGCCACATACTTAGTGATCAAACACCCAACCCTGTCGGCCTGGCTCCACTCGTCAGACTCGTCTCCAACGAGCTGGTGAAGTGCGTGCTGTACTCGGTGAATGCGATCATGGTACCCCACAAGGCAGATCACCATGTACTTCAAATCATCGCGGACGTGTTTCTCCTCCTTCGCGCTTATGTCTGCAGCTGACTGCCAGCGGCAATACTCGAGGGATCCAAGTTGGAACGGCGTCCTGTTTGATACCAGTCGCATGACGGTGTTCTCGAGATAATATAAAGCATCTTCGCACCCATTGACAGTCCAGCTTTGCTAGCGTCAGACACTGAGGCAGCGCGCAGTGATAAATTCACTTACAGTCAAAACTGGTCATCATTATTCTCTTCGTCCCAGTCATAAACCGCCAACAAAGCAGTAAGGCAGACCTGCTCGCCGTGAAATACGACTGGACGTGCAGGCTCCTGCTTGCGACGTTTCTCATCGGCTCTGAGCTGCTCTCGAAGAATAACATCCTGTTGCCTGGAGAAAAAAGCCTGAGCTAGCGACGAGACTGAAACCCACAATATGCTCACATCTTGTAGCCACTGAGCTGCTCCTGGGACCGCAACCAGTCCCATTCGCGTCTGGCCTCGATTGCAGGTGTAGACCGTTTTGTGCCCTCAAGGCCAGCGAAAAAATCTTCAGTGGGGCTCGAGGAGGGAAGCATGTGGGAATAAGAATGAAGGAGGATGTAGGCGCTTGAAGACGACGTTGACCTGTAGGATTATGCTAATTAATAGATTTGCTTACCAAACTAGAAGCAAGGATCCTCGTACTTAGGTATAGTAGTTCCACTTTCGTAGATCTTCAACGTATCGCCACCTTGTGGGTGCCATGTCAACCATCTCAGTAGACTCACTATACCATGCCATGAACATATTGTCCTCGCATGAGAGCGAGTACCAACTTAACATATGCATCAGCGTGAGGCAAAACTCCGCGGATGTAGTCTTTAGAATCTGGCAGAAGTTACCATCGGGACGTCCACTGTGCGTGAAACCACCTCTGCAGCACTTTAGAATAGTACTGAAAACCTCTGAATGCAATTTAAGCAACCACGGTCGGGTGTTGTTAGTAAGTGACCCACAACGTAAACGAGAGAGCTCACAGCTCGCCACTCAATCAAAACGTGTAATGGCTAATGACACAATAGCGATATGAGTTATTCTAAATAAGACATCATGTTGGCCAGGAGAACTGTATGGTTGGTTATGGCTGTTCAATGAACAATCTACATTTTAGTATTATTCCAAGGACGGTACTTCTTCCCTGAAAGATGACCTTGAAGTTGAAGTTGAGTTACTCTCCCCTTCTGCGCTGTAAGGCGGAGGTGCTGGCGGAACAGACGGCTATGCATTTTGTCTCAGATCAGGATTCAGAGATGGCGACATTACACTTATAAGTCACATGAGGTCATCCATGCAGCGGTTGACAGTGATAGAGACGTTCTCCAAAACCTGCAAACACTTGTCGACTGTCTCACGTGTCAACCGGTCCATAGTAGTGAGGTGGACATCTGATATGACAGATGGAAGTTGAGTGAGAGTTACTGTAGGAATGTCGTGGCATGAGCTTGGGGCTGTGGGGTAGTTGCTCCGAATGAGCCTTGGTAGGCCAATAGATATATCATCTAGAGGAGTTAATGAGAGGATGACCCAACGTTCAGAGGCTGGCAATATCTGTCGTACAGAATGGTCATGGCAGGCACACGCGTCAACCAACTTCATGCACCATGGGCGCGCTTACATAGGTATAGGGTCAACCTTCCATCTGGTTCATATATCGGTCTAGTTGAATTAGATGTAGCTTGAGTCCGGTACATACTACAGCTGGTTGATATCATATACATATTCACTTACTAGCTAGTATACTATAGCTAGCTCATTTCTGACATGCACACAGGATCAGAATTATATGGATAAAGAGATCTACATGTTCAGTTGTTGTCTTATGAGGTGTTGCCCTATGTACGTGTCGTACTACAGGTGTAGGAATCTATAAGGTAATCTAACGGCAGATGTGTATCGTGTATGGGTGATGCGTATAACATTAGTAGCCTACCCGTCGCCAGTGTGTGGGTTCGGAGACAACAGCCATACTGAAAGGTCAAAACCAAGAAAAGTCATCTAATGCAGAAAACCGGTGGAGGGCTGAGGATTGAATCGACACAGCAAGTTAGATTCAGGACAGTAATATGATCTTCAACCTGTGCTCGAGTCATTATTTCTTTTGTGTCTCTGTGCTACTTCAAGTTCATCTTACTTTCTGTATTCCCAAAAGACGAGAGTTGAAATAATACATGATGGCCATACCGTTTAAATTGGCTCCTTATCAATATCCACCGCTACCTCACACGTTGTCCCTGTGCCTTTCTAGCACTGCAAGTTTGCTATATTCGAATCTCTACATTTGCACTATAATCTCAACCTCTTCGATCCAAAAACATACACGCACAAAATGTCTAAAGACTTTATTAGCTTGCGCTGAATAGAACTAGCTGAGACATTCTGTTTCATTTGGCATATTGTGACGACAAAGTGTCTGACATATAGATACAGTTACGTGATACCCTCAGTAAGCCTCTCATTCATGTAATATCTAGGACCATTCTTCTTCATTTACCGGACTGTGCCTCATAGAACCTTCATTTTTAAATGCCAGACAAATAGGTGGGTACTACCCAAAGACATTGATGAGACTAGTGCATGATATTGCATATAACGCCAAGCAAGCATGTGACAAAATGACAAGGGTACATAAGCTTGGGATAGTACAAACACAGATTGGCAAAATGTGATATGCAACAACGGCGAGTCTACTAGTGAATCAGACCAAAGCGTCCCTCCCGAAGCGCATCCTCCATGGCCTCAAAAGCCTCCTCAAGTGAGAAGACCTCGTGCCCCTCTGAGCCTCGGCCTCCAGACCACACGCTGTAGTAGATATCCCTGGATGAGCATCATTAGCTATAGCCTTCCAGAGCGGCGTACAGATACACACGGGTTCGAGAACACGCCGATGGCATATCCAAATGGAACCCAATAATACAGCGGCTCAGACGGAGCATGCGGCATAATGTATGTTGCCTTGACGGACGGCAAAAGCTTCACGGTCCTGGTGGGTAGACCCTCAACCAAATCCTGAAATGTACCATTGAGATTACGGTTGATGACACCGTCCGGCGGGATAATACCATAAGGAAAGTGCTCCTCATTAACGGTGCGAGTGTTGGTATATTCAATGTCATTGGAGCGAGGCTCCGACGCGGAACGACAAGCAGTGGAGAGGTGGCTAAACTACTCAGTGATGCCATCAGTTGATGAATGGATCCAGACAACACTTAAGTTTATGTAATGCAGCCTCAATACTTTCACCATCTGTATGACCACGTGCGTGATTGGCAGCAGCGATCCGCGCTCAGGCCATCTTGTTCTGGTGATGCATCTCCTGCCCAGCGCATTGCTGGAACAATCTAAAGAAATGAATGAGTGAGCCATACGTATTACGAACGCAAGACCAAGATACATACCTTGTAAAGTCCTTGTTGTTGGTGATGTCCAGGAGCTCACGACGAACCGCCACCTGAACCATGTCTTGAAAGTCGATGTGGTAATCAGGGGACTTGGTGAAGATGTCGACGACAGTCTCGGATATAAGATCCACTAGAGGTAATGTAAGCTGACAATGATCGCAACGAAGAGTAAGGAGACCTAAGGCTTACAACAGCATTGGCCGACACAGGCCGTAACAACCTCGGATTTGGTGCTGTTACCCTGCATGTGAATGTTGAAGTGGCTGCAGCTGCAGTTGAGGGCATATGCCGGCTTCTTGCTCAGGGACGCGAAGGTGTGCAGGGTAGTGGGGGGAGGAGGAGGTTGGGCCGGGAACTCCGGGGTACCAGGATTGCATGCCCAGAAGAATGGACGAGTAGGGTGCTCAGGCGAGCGGGAGTCCTCCATCGGCGAAGGGGGGGTGACTTTACTGGACGGAGTGGGTGCGCCATCCGTGGAAGAAGGCGGCGCGACGTCTCTGGACGAAGGGGATGCGGAGTAGGGAGACTCAGAGGGCGCAGGGGTGTTGAGAGACTCGGAGACAGAGATAAGCGAGTTGGCGGGGGAGCGCAGGTATGGTGTATGAGCCATAGCAGGAAGAGCGCTGAGCGCTGAGACTGAGTTGCCAAGCAGATCCCCTCATCTCTTTAAGTGTCCGCAGGCGTGATTTGCCTAAAAGAGCCTTGGTAGATATTGGTGAAGGCATTACCATACAAAGAGCACGGATCTGGCAGATCCGGCCTAAAACACGGCCTAGTCCAAGGACAACGCAAGCTGCACTTGTAAGTACTTACGTGGATGCACTGAAGCACCATTTAACATTTGATGCACTTGAACCAAAGCTAGGAAGCCCTCGGACAAGAATAGAGCGGCGTGTTCCATCTTGCTCTGATGACTTGGAAAGAAGCATGTACACGCCGCTGATATGGACCCAGGCACTGGAGTTTCCCTAAGGAACGAAGAATGGCCAGTTGGACCGGCTCGCTGACTGTCAGAGTGATGCGAAGAGGCGAATCAAGCCTGTTTTCCCCACTCACACTCAGCAAATGTCCCGTCCTACGCACAATTTGTCCCTATATGAGCAAGCGTACAAATAATGATGTCTACAATTACCTGGAGGATGAGGATGACAAAGATCCTGGTCTTCAAAAGATGTATGCCCGAGTGGAGAGTGTCTCGAGGGACCGTAGACGCATTAAATTCAACCACATTAGGGATATGCCAAGGCTTGAGCCTGAAAAGATGAATGAAGACAATGACGATCAGCTATACCGCATGAGAGATGACTGGGAGCCTTACATGGACGCAATGGATGCGGACGATGAAGAAGACCAGCCCGCAGAGACAGCGGAACCCCAAGCAAGCGACCATGCTGTTGTGACTTCGATGCCGCAAAAACAATACTTGTCATTGGTGTGTTTCTTGCCCAGTACCGAGAGTCAACCAGATGCTAACCGAGAAATATAGGATAATCCTCTCCTAGTGTGGGTCGGCCGCACCGATTGCCCAGGATAATGTGACGAATATCTAAACAAGTACATACACTTGGAAGGGCGTGGCAATGCATCCGCTTTTCCATGTGACTGCAACAGCGGGAGGGCGAGGGAATATTGCTGCGAGTCCTGCGGTGGTCGCCAAATGACCTGTAAAGAATGCTGTGTTACTGCTCACCAGTGCTTGCCTCTACACTTTATTCAAGTATGTGTAACAGCTAAACTGTTACTCACCAAACTACTGGGGGAACTTGAGGAGGGATAAGTGATGTGAGATATAGATGATGAGTGGTGAGCTTAGAGAGCTGGATGAGAGTGGTGATCTTGAGTATAACAAGTGGATTAGACTGGAGAGTACGCTCCAGGATATGCCTCCTTAAATACAAGTACAGATCTATGATATCATGCTGTGTCTGCCCTAGACTATTTGGGATGATGACTGTACAGTATTTGGTTCGACCAATGGCAATGGCCCTATAACTAATGTCTGACTAAAGGTGTGCCTTGATTGCTAAGAGATTGGTAAGGCGTGCCTGTAATACTGACTAAGGAGATCATGTGCAGTACCAGCTGATGCTAGAAACCATGTGGAACTACTGATACTATCTACTGATCGACTATGATAAGAGTCCAGGCCTTATCAGCTGACGATCTATGGAGATCTAGGCTTGATCAGCTGTTGATCTATGAGATCATAGGCGCTTCTATGCCAGGTACATAGATATTCCTGCATGACAAATCCTCCATGGTAACCCCAGGGTTTATCCCTATGTCTAGATCAACATAACTTCGAGATATGATAAGATGGAGAGAGATAAGGACACTTCTAGGGGTTAATCTACCATAGATAGGTGTTCTCCCATGTCCTATGTTGTATCTCTTGTATCCCCTTGTACCGGTGGTGTACAACCGTGCAATAAATGTGGAAAAATAGTAGAAATACTGGAATTTGTGACAGTATGATCATGTTGACGACATTTAGGATTTAAAAACTGATCACGGTTGTGCGCAGAAATGGAATGGGAGGTTCTTCGAACATGTTTCGCTCAAGTCTCTCGGTCTGAGGGTGAACATGGGACACAAGGATGGTTCAAAATGCGTCTTACGACAGGCTGGCCACGCAAAGTTTGTTGTCATTAATACGAACAGAATACACCGTGTATCCATAAGTTTCTGCGGCTGCGACAAGAAAGTCCCTCATCGTCAACAACTTCTGCGATATGGCTGGTACCCTTCCACTGTCGATACGCCCGAGACCGCCTGCACAGAGGAGGCTCTTGGGCAGTACTCTGCCCTTATGTCTCGAACCAAAGTATTGCCGCATGGCTATTATCAGGCGCTTGAGAGCCTTACAGACTCCCTCGGCCTCGATGTTCCACCGGTTGGTCTTCATCGCATTCTGTTTATCTCTGACTAACAAACGCCCGAAGAGCCATTATAAAGTGTTTCTTCGCATTCTGCGTCAGCACAGATACATACGCCTAATGAAGGAGGCTGGTCGCGGGAATGTCGCCAACGGGATAGAAACAACCAGGCCGGGAGAGCTTGCCGTAGCATGTCCCGCATGTCCACATCCAAACGTCAATCTACCCGATGGCTGGGAGAATGCTGACCTGTTGCGAAAGTGAGTGCATTGGTGTCACCAATAGTTTTCAATCAAACTAATCGCTCGTAGGTTTCTTTATTGCCTGTTTCTCACCATGGACACCAATTTTCGGCTGAAGAACCGCGATCGCGGCGGATCACTGTCAGATGTTGAGTTATTTGATGGGCTGGCATATTTTGTGAAGACAGAGCCGTACATGGAATACGTCTGACGTTATGAGACTCTTAAAGATGTGAGTACTCCTTGTCTTACTATGGTCAGCAAGTTGATATAAGATATACTCCCAGAGGTCCACATGCAGTAGCTTCCGGGCTATCTCAGGTGTCAATAACAAGCTGTCGAAAGGTCTGCAAGCTACAGGTGTTGGTATGATCATGTGTGCACGTCATGAGTTCACATTAGCCTTGGGCGTTGGTGATCTACAGGCTGGCGAGCGGTACGTCCACTTCTATGGTCCTTGAAGACTGGCTGACCGGAAAATACAGCAATTGCAACATGGACTATTTATTTTTCTCGATTTTCGCGCCGCTAATACTCCTTCTCGTTGTGATATCTTACGACATCGCGTGTCAGTGGAAGACCAACTTATTCAAGAGAATGAATACCCTTCCTCCCGAGATGCAAATGTCTTTGGTGATGATGGCTCAGATCCTTGTCTTTGGCGTGCCGAAGTTTCACGCCCCGGGCCATAATCAGAAGTGCGCGACTGAACATTCTCTGAACCTCATAACTGGCGCCGGTCGCACTGATGGCGAAGGGATTGAGCGTGGTTGGGTGGAATTCAATCTCGCTAGCAACAGCACCAAGGAAATGACACTCGGGTTTCAGCACGACACTCTCAACATTGTATTCAGTTCACATAACCTACACAAATACTACGGTCTGGGGAAAACCCTTCAAGGGCGATTAATTCTGGCAATGGAAGCGCAGTTGTTTCATCAAGATGGGCTACTTGTTTTCAACGAGTCCATTGACGAGTCTGACAAAGCGGACTGGACGGCGATGAAGGTTGCTTGGGAAAACAACAAGACCAAAGAGAACCCATTCCTATTCACGCAAAACAGTAAGTGTTGTTTCCAGCCAAACAATAATGACGAGTCTCTCTGGCTGCCCTCCGCGCTCAACCCAGACGAGCGCAGCATATGTACTCATGGCATTGAAAAAACCGAGGGCAAGCTTCGACAGGTGCAATGCCACTCGTCACTCAATAGGATTCGGGGTCTTCTGCAAACCAAATACCACTTTTCGACTCACCAAAAACTACACTCCCGAGGACAGCGCGCAATGACGCGAGCGTACAGACTCATTGGCGAATACACTCGTAAAATTGAAGCAGAATGTACCAAGTATGATAAATCCTATAAAGCACTCGAATCGCTTGAAGGGACAGACCTATTGTGCTTTGGGTTACAGCCACTTCACTCCGGGGATATCCGAACGCTCCGCGAGCCAGCGATGGAGCCCAACATGCCGTCGCGCCGGGCGCGGGAAATGCAAAAAGGGCTCGGGGAAGGGCACTGAACCGTGTCATGGATATGGATGACGAAAGCAGGTGACAAGGGCAGCGGTGAGGGGTGGGAAGACGCAGAAGGTGTGATATCTGAAATCGAATATTTCGAAGACTCACCGCGAGTATTGCCAGGGCTCCGTGTTGAATGGCTAAAGGCCTGCGAGCAAACGAAACATTGGGAAGAAGAAGTGGACTTACTGAAGGAAGAAATGCGGCAGGTAGGAGCGTTTCTGGAGCACAAAGCGTGCTGGTGGGAGGAGCGCGCAATCGTGAGCTATCCTGAGTATAGTGCAACAACACGGCCGGCACAACCAGCGATGGAAGATAGGACTGACTCACCGGGACAGCCCAACACATTCTTGTCTCAATCTAGCGATAATGTTCTGGCTCGGCAAGCTATGGCTGAAGGGGTGCGCTCACACGCTCTTTGCCAGGCCTGCCAACAGTGCCATCTCCGGGAGCATTTTACGCACTTGTGGGACCACAACTGGGACACCGAGGAAGCGGCCAGCTCGAAGAAGGTTGGGAAACACCCCGATATTGATTCCGACGCTGAGGATGAAGGCACAACACGGGGAGAGGCAGTGCAAACAGCGGAAGCGGCGGGGTGGGAAACGACGGAGCGGGGAGCGGCGGGGCGGGAAATGGCGGGACGAGAAACGTGAGAAGTTGTAGAAGCAACAGGACGCGGTGACCGGAATAGCTAAACATAGACGCTTCTTGATTGATGTGTATGTTTGTTATGATGGCCTAAAAATAGATGAGGATATGACAAAGCATGGAACGTAGAAATATTTAGGGATTGTGTCATGTGTGAGAATTCACTACCTTATCCAGAATACTGCATAAAACCACAAGTTAGAGGAAAGAGGCCCGTGAGCTGGGTTAGCAAATAACCACAGGGAGAGTATGGATGAAACCACAGCCAAGCCAACCAGGCCAGCCAGTGGGGATACCTACAGAGAACCACAGTATTTGACAAGTCCATTTATGGGTTGAGCCATATAATATAGGGTCTAATCATCTGCCACTGGTGACTCCACGGCCACTCTGCTCAGCCAATACGTCTCGCAGCCAGCATACACTGCTGCTCCTGCACCAGTGCAAATGGCTTTCAATGCTGTACCTCAGCTCGTACAGCAGGCGCAGCACGCGCCGGGGCCCGGGTATGTACAACAAAATGCTCAGTATGGTGCCTACGCTCCGGTGCCATACTACCGCCCACCATACGGACAGCACGCCTTCTCACATCCCAACCTCCCAGCGCCTCAAGCTATGCAGCAAACTGGCGCTGCGGCTCATCCTCCTCGTCCGCCCCTTCGTCAAATAACTGGCAGACGACTCGAAGTGCATCATGCTTCACACATCGAGGAACTCAGTCACGAGAAAGGCAACTGGATGGTTTGGGACGAGCTGATTTGTCAACACCTGGGGACGGACCAGTACAATGATGGATGGCTTGATGGCCTCGTACCTGCCACCGACCCTTTCAGCAACCAGTACTACGGTCAAGATTGGGTTCGCGCGAATAGCACTATTCTGAACTTCATACGCGCAAAGGTCTCACATGATGACCGCCAACATTTGTCTTGTTGCACCACTGTCCCGGAGGCGCACGCCATCCTCAAACAACGTCACGAGGAACTCGGTCCCATCGCGCAAGTCATGCTCTTACGCAAGCTCTTTGCTGTCAACTTTTCGAAGTCAAAACGCTTCTCAGACACGGCTCGGGAACTCAGGGAGCTTTCGCACTCGATCATGGCTATGGGACCTATGACTGAGGACAGACTCTACACTACTGGGCTCATGAGCGTGCTGGCGAAGGACTTCCCCATCATTAGCAACGAGCTCGCTCATCAACTGTCAACGACGCATCATCATGCAGCCTTCGATCCTCGCCAGATCCTGCATAGGCTCAACATTGAACAGAGCGTGCTTGACGCTGCAAGCAGCGAGTCCTCTCTAGGTGATCCTATTCTAGCGGGTATGAGGAAGCCACCTGGGAAGCCGTCGGGGACCACAAAACCCCCATGTGGCAACTGTTGTGGCACTAACCACCCCACGGCTAGGTGCTGGGCCCCTGGGGGGGCCATGGCTGGTCGTCAACCCGATGCTCAGGGTTCGACAGACCGGCGCCGCACTCACGAGCACGACACTAAGGGTTGACGTGTCGACATATCCGGCTGCCTGTACATCTTAGATGACGCTAAGCATAGAGCCTACCTTGTCAACGACTCGGAGTCATCTTTGACCGGTACTGCCGCTCACGAGAACGAGCCCACTAGTGGCGAGTTTGCTGATCTAGCCTCTGATACTCTGTCAACGGCCGAAGCGATCGAGCTCAACGATGCCGACCTACAGGAGTACGAGAGCTATTTTCTAGCTACTGAGGCTACAGGTCTAAAGTCTGCGGTCAATTGGGCGACTCATGCTATCCCGTCCGACTGCGTCTTATGGGCTTCGGCAGCTCCGAACCGCTCAATGTCTACGACGGTTGATCCCGCAACAACACTGTTCTATCTCGACTCTGGGGCCTCGGCGCACATTTCCAGTTGCGCCGATGACTTCTACTCCTTGTCACCCATCGCAGCTCGCAAGATCACTGGTGTAGGAGGCTCCGCTATTCATGCTCGAGGGATCGGCACTATACGTCTATCCTTCGGCAAGGGACTCCATCTTGATCTTCAGAATGTCCTCTATGTGCCCTCTGCCTCCGTACGCTTGATCTCCATCGCCACTCTAGACGATGATGAGCGCTACTCGGTCACTTTCGGCTCTGGCGTTTGCACGATTTCAAATGCCAGCGGCACCAAAATTCTCTCTGGCGCCAAGACGCGAAACTGTCTCTACCGTCTTACGGGTTCCTACCAAGCTGTCGCTCATCATGCATACATCACCCCTAGGGTCCCCTCCGTAGCCGTTTGGCACCGACGTCTTGGTCATGCAAATTACCAGTCCGTTCTGGACTTGGCGAAACATCGCAGGGCGACCGGTATGTCCATTGACCTCTCTGACCTGCCACCTAAATGTGAACATTGCATACTGGGTAAACAGACCAGGTCGCATGTTCCGCAGGTTAGAGAGGGAGATAGGTCAACACAGAGGTTAGGGCGCGTACATGTAGATTTGATGGAACACCCCAGTGCACCTTCTGTCACCAGTAACGTCTACGTGATGAATATCATCGACGATTACAGCCGCTATTCATGGTCGATACCGCTCCGCAGTAAGGACACTGCCTTCCCTGCTTTGCAGGCTTGGGAGAAGGCTCGCAAGCTCGAGACAGGGCTTGGCACTGGTGAATTTGTAAGCAACAACGGCGAACTCAGGCGTGGAGACATGAAGACGTGGCTCGAGAGTCGCGGCACTTCGCACAAGTTCACGGCGCCGTACACATCAGCCCAGAATGGGCTAGTCAAACACCTCCATCTATCGCTAATGAACAAGTCTCGTGCTATGCGCTTGGCGTGCAACGTCCCTGTTTTGCGTTGGGACGAGTTTGTACTCACTGCAAACTACTTACACGTTCGTACACCAGCAAAGGCACTTGCAGGCAAGACTCCGTATGACGCTTGGTATGGCCGCCAACCCGATCTCTCACACTTACGCAAAATCGGTGCTCAGGCATTTGTTCTAGTCCAGAACCAACATAACCCGAAGGTCCTTGCACACTCAGTAGAATGTGTGCTGATTGGCTACTCGCTAGACTCCAAGGCATACAGGTGCTACAACAGGAGTTCGGGCAAAGTCGTTACTTCCTTCCACGTCCGTTTTATCAAATCTCATGAATCTGATGTTCGCGATTACCGCCCAGGCGTAGTGGTTGGTGATCCCAGACCCCTCTGTGTCGCCTTCTGTTGCGTCTATCGGGGACTTGTCTACATCGTCCACAGCTGCCCAACCTCCCACTGCTGTTGACGATACGGCTGTTGATGATACACCACCCATGCCGCAACTGCGACGCTCAACACGCACCTCCAAGCCTACGGAGAAGAGAGCCCTCGCTGAGAGCCTGAAGTACTTGTCACATCTTGACGATGTCCAAGAATGCATCAGCACATTCTTTGCCGACTGGGACCTAACGACCTCCGACGACAATACCGATGTCGACGCTATGGATGATGATGACCATTGCTTCTACACCGACCCGACTACGCTGAAGGAAGCGCTTGCGGGCGAGAAAGGCGACAAGTGGCGGGAAGCCCTCTGGGAGGAGTTTCGAAGTCTCAAGGAGCGTGGTGTATACGTCCTGGTGCCCCGAGACTCAGTGCCAGCTGGTCGCAAGATCATGCACGGTTGTCCTATCTTCAAGTTGAAGTTTGATGAACATGGCGAACCCATTCGACACAAGGTTTGCTACGTCTGTCGGGGATTTGAAGCTGTCTATGGGCAAGACTACACGGAAACCACATCACCCACAGCACGCCTTGAATCTCTGCGGATACTGCTTCACCTGGCCGCGGCGCTGGACCTTGAGTGTGAGCAGGTTGATATCAAAACGGCCTACCTGTACGGTGAGTTGCCCGAGGATGAGGTTTGCTACATGGAGCAACCAGTGGGGTTCAAGGAACCGGATTCAGAGGGGATGGTGTGGAAGGTGGAGAAGGGGTTGTACGGAATGAAACAGGGAGGACGAGTCTGGAACAAGACGATGCATGATGCCATGGTATCATGGGGCTACACGCGGATGTCTTGCAAACACTGCATCTATTATCGCAAGATGGCCACCAACTTCACGGTTGCAGCTGTCCACGTCGATGACTTCTGTATAGCCGGCAGCGACCAACCTGTGATCGATCGTCTGAAGACGATGAAGACCCTCTGGCAGATCTCTGAACTAGGGTCCTCGAAGTTCTGTGTCGGTATTGCAATCGAACGCGATCGCAAAGCTCGAACTATGTCTCTCTCACAGACGGCGCTGATCGACTGCATTCTCGCTCAGTTCCATATGACAAACACTAAACTGGTCAGCACACCTATGGAGACTAACCTCCAGCTTTGACGTGTCCCACATTCCACACTCGACGCAGCTACGAGAGCTGAACTCGCAAAGATACCATACCGCTCACTCATCGGTTCGCTCAACTATCTCGCGGTCGCTACGCGCCCAGACATATCGTTTGTGTGTCAGTTCCTGAGTCAATTCCTCGATGCTTACACACAGGAACATTTCGCTGCTGCGAAGCGAGTCTTACGGTATCTGGTTCAGACGAGGGACCTGAAGCTTGTACTTGGCGGTCTCTCCGGTGCAGACCTTGTTGGTTTCACCGACTCAAATTACGCCGCCTGTCCCGATACACGTCATTCTGTTACGGGTTACTGTACTTCTCTGGGTTCGGGCATTGTCTTGTGGTCTTCTAGGAAACAGCCGATCGTAACGGGCTCCACTTGTGAAGCTGAATACGTTGCAGCCAACTCGGCGACAAAAGAGATCGTCTGGGTACGGAACGTCTTACATGCGCTTGGCTATACACAGACGCACCCCACACCACTGTTCTGCAATAATCAGGCCACGATCAAGATATCTGAGGATCCGTCAAATTTTGCTCAAACAAAACACATTGATGTGCGATATCACTTCATTCGCGAACGAGTAGACGACGGGACTATTCAACTCCGTTACATTCCCACCTCGGACAATATTGCGGACATCTTCACGAAGGCTTTGCCTCGTCCCGCATTTGTCGCTCTGCACTCTCTCCTTGGTCTCAGATGATTCTAGGCGTAAGGGGGGCACGTGGGTTCAGGAGGAGTTGCTTTCATTTTTGTGTCTCTAGTTGAGGAGGAGTATCGGAATCTGGAGGATTCCCGGAGCACCGCAAGACACGGACATGACAAGCGGGGCGCAGCAGGGCAGTGGCGCAGAGCAGGAGAAGCAGAGAAGCGTCAGTGCTATACAGACGGTCAAGCCACCGCTTATCCCTCATACGTTTGTACCACGAACGAAAGAGGGTAAGCAGCCGTTCTGTTGATATGTTATGGACATTACTCACCAGTATCCACAGTCTAATATACCTTAGGTAGATCACAGCTCATTCGTTTGTACCACAAACGAAAGAGGTCTAATATACCTTAGTTTCTAACACAATTGCGTCAGGGTTAGCCACCCTTCACCACCGCTGAAGTCGCCGGGACTCGTGCCGCCACAGTCCCACGCCGTCAAGGCGTTATCGCGCGCCAGATTGCCTTATCGTGCCGCCATCACCTCCCCTCATTGCTCGCCGCTTCCCCCCCTGCTGCTCGCAAGAGCGCACGCCCGGCCGCTGCCATCGCCGCTGGACCTTTGCATAAGTCCTCCGTTGAGGCCGCTTCCCGCTGTGTGCCGCACCTGCCGCAGCTGCTCCTCGCACGCTGCTGCTTGCCCCTGCCACCGCGCTGCCACTCACCAACGCTGCCGCTGCTCTCACGTGCCATTGTAGAACCCGCCGATGTTGCTGCTGTCCTAGCCCTGCCGCCGATGCCTGTGTCATCGAATCGCCCGTGTGAGGGACGAAGAATCACGCACCTGCGCCCCCGGTTGCCAAAAACCGCCCGCCATTGAACCCGCCGCCGCCGCTGTTGTCGAACCGCACCCCTAGTCGCCAAAAACTAGCTGTTGCCACCCCGTGAAGTTGCCGTCGCCCGTTGTTGCCGCCCTGCCGCTGCATGTCGTTGTGCCACTGTCGTCTCATCCCTCGCTGTTTGCCTCTCGTCTGCACCCTGCGCGTCACCGCGGAGTTTGGGTTATTCAAGACAGGTGTTAGTTGGATTTCGTAGGATCGGGAACCCTCTCAAGTTCGAGGGGGTGCATCGTATGTTTTATTTCGTTGTTTTTTGCTTGTTTTTTGCTGTTTTGTCCCCTCATCGTCGTTGCTCGTTTGTTTTGCCTCGCATCGTGTTACCTTCGTCGTTGTCTGCTTGTTTTTCACTTTGTCGTCGTCGCCCGTTTTTGTTACGTTACTGTTGCTCGCTTGTATCAAACAAGGGGGTGTGTTGGAATTATGCTCAGATCTCGCTCGCATCATGACGTGTCGTACATTATCTTATTATATCCAAGTTTTTCATAGTATATATTCTTGTTGTAGCTATTCATAATCTTCACACGATTGCCCTTCGGGCACCCTCCTCTTGCCCGGGACAAATGCGCTGTGCGTCATCACGAGCCCGTGCGACCTCGAATTTCTACAGGTACCATGACTGGGACCCCAAAGAGATTAGTGTCATAAAGTAGATAAACATACAACATACACTCTCCACACTTATTGTCACGAGTGTGCACCCATATACCCAAGTCCAACGTACTAGTAGAGATCTACATGGTCTCCTATAAGAGGGACTGCCTTCAAGATTATAACCATAGCGTATACAGAACTATAGTAATGAAGTGGAGGGGAATGGAGGTGGAGTGTAGGTGACCGGAGGTACCACAGGGGAATGGAGGTGTATGTAGGTATAGCATAACAAGTGATTAATGAGTGACACGGTTAGCAGTGTTGGCGACATGGTGGAACGTCGGCGTAGCAGTAGTGTAGCAACTTGCACGTGAATTGGCCAGTATCTTTTTGAACACTTGATTATCGTTGCGCATTGCACCCCGGGAGTTCTTTGTCCTTTCTGTTGAACTCCCAGGTGCGTCTCAGTGTATTCAGTCATCTATACATGGCTCAATAGACTGTCCTTTCCGTCAAACTCCCAGATCTTGTGTCAGCGCCACTCCTGCCGATCATGAGTGATATAACAAAATGGGAGTACAGGAACTTAACCGGAGTACTCTGAGGCTGCAGAGCTGAAGTACTGGAATACTGGAGTAGCCTCAAAGACGAGCCGTAGGCTCGGAGTTGACACGGAATTGACATGGAGGAGTGCAAACAATTACGGGAGGATATGGAGGAGTCTGGAGTGGGGACCGGAGTATACAAGAATTGAAGTTGATATTCAGACTGAAGTACACTAGCCTACACAGAAGGGTTTATAGACTACAGCCTAAGTATGAAGTCATAGTAGTTGGGCAAAGGGGAGTGTAGCTCAGCTACAAGGTACGGAAGTAGGATGAAGGGTATGATGTAGGAGGCGTTAACTATGATGTCAGAAACACAAGGAAACAACGTGGGAATGACGTAGGAATGTCAAAGGGAGTGATACATGAAGTAAAGGCGAGGATATTGTTAAGGGGAACATACTCAGAATGTATAGTGAGGTTGAGGGTTAATGATGTAGATCCTTCGGAGGGTCTGGAGACACCAGAGACACCAGAGTTGACACGAAACTGAGTGGAGGTGTCCAGAGGTATTGCACATCAAGACTTCAAAGAAGCTTTTTTGGTCAAAAATGTCGCCAGATGTTGGCATCCCAATCTGCTGTGCCAACTGTACCTTCCACGCCTCTGGTGTCTCGTCTGAGCCTTCCTTGGGGCCCAAAACCTCATCCGACATGTATTCCTGGTGGATAGCCTCGCTTGGGTTTGCATTGTCATTCTGACAAGCATATTCAGCCGCCATCTTCATGTGGTTGTCTGCTTTCTAAGACAGCCCAACCAGTGAGCTATCATTTTGTGTTATAATCCGGGTATTCACTTCAACATGATGACTGTAGTGCCGTGTGCGCTGGGCCAAAGCGGCATCCCTGCTCGCAATGTTGAAATTGTTCTGCTTCGTCCACTCATGTCTAAACCCTCTGAATGACACCTTTGCAGTACTCAATTTGTCCCACTTTACTTTCCGGTTCTTCAAGGACACTGGGATATTATCAGCCTAAGGATGGTAAGCATCTGTATATATCTCTATGTCAAATATATGCGCTCACATCAGAGAAGTTGTCCCAAATGGACTGGGAAATTGCTTGTAGGACAATGGTGGTTTGAGGATCATCAACAGCCACCTCAAAGTGTGGCGTCATATACACCGCATCCGTTTGGAATTAATTCAGCTAACCGCAGGATCAGGCCAGCGTTTGCCAAACAGGACTCTGCATACAAGTTGAAATGCGGGCGCTATGAAGTCCTGGGTGCATGGTCGGCTGTGCCATCTCATTAAATGCTGACAATAATGCTTACTATTAAGTCTTTGCAAGCGACTCGGGTTGCTGTCTCCTTCATATCCTTAGGTCTTTTGCAGATGTCTTCAGCATGTTCCTCATACTGACCGATCTTCAGCTCCATGTGGTCCTGTGTGGCTGGTGCTCCACATCCACGTCCACACCCTTGTCTACGTCCACATCTACGATGACCCCCTTGACCCCCTTGCTCATCTTGATTCCCTTGGGCCCCTCGCCTGCTACTCCCCCGCTGAGGACCCACACCCCCTCGGCTCCTCCACTTGCTGGCACTGCCTGACCAGCCTCAAGAGCGCTCATGTGCACCTCAAAACGCTCCAACATCTGGGTGAGCTGGTTGACAATGTCTTGGTTTGACGGGGCAACCGTGTTCTGTCTGGGGCTCAGATGTGAGTATATGCACTTTTTGTCAGGCTTTTACTCACATTGTTTCGTTTGTAATGACAGGGAATGGGTATATACCCAAGTTGTTGCAGCACCAGGCCTTCATTTTGTCTGGCCACACTGCCCATAGCTTGTCGCTGATCCCAAGCGTAGGTGGCTGCGGTAAGCTTGCCGTATATAACACTCCCTGCATCTTGTTGTGGACACAACAGGGGTGACACCCTAAACTCCTAAACAGCTCCGAAACTTCGGAGGAGGTCGGAGATAGGCGGAACAGAGCGGAGCGTAGGAGCGTAGGAGCGTAGAAGCGTAAGTGTACAAGTGGCCAAAACCACAAGGCTAGGTGATGGAGGATCTCAACGAGTGCCGGCGGCGAGCACGAAAGCACTAGTCCCAATGACCAAGTCAATAAAGCATCCTATCTACTACAAAGTGAGTGCGCACCTAGTCCCAATGACCAAGAGGTCAAGATGGGGGACTAGGATGCGACACGCTCAGTATATAAGCAACTCCAGCAATCTTTGGATCCTGATCCTGCTACTGATAACCATCTGCTGTCACGGAGGTAGTACAGTGCTGCTGTCAAGCGTCCGCATGGTCTGCATAAAGTCCGAATGTTGTCAGGAGTAATGCTTGAAGGGAAACATAAGAGGTCCGAGGTAACTCTGGGCGTGGAGCAAACTCCGAAATCTTCGGAGGGTCCGGAGGTGTCCGAAGGTGTGCGGAGATGACCGGAGATGCGCGGACCTGGCTCTAAGTGTGGAAAGGAGAGAGAGAAGGAGAGAGAAATGAAAGAAAAGAATAGGGGCCTTGGTCGTATTCACAAAACATCTGGTTACTAATCTGTGCAGCTGCAGCTGCAGGAGCGGACATCTCGGGTGTGAAGCCACACTGGTGGGAGGATCTGGCAGCGGGCGAGTGTGTGAAAGCAATGGCGGCGGTGTACCGGTGGCAAGGAGGGGCAGCAGCGAGAAGCAGGGAGTGTGAGGGAGGGGACGCGTTGGGATATCAGTCCCGTGATGTGTAGTATTTCATGCAATCTAATCTCATCTATTATTACATGCTTCTATCGTGGTGAATCTAAGGTTATAGTAGACCCCAAACGGGTAGAATAGCCATTCACAAAGACGGCCTGGTATTCAGCTTATATGATGTCACCTACTATAACCTAACTTCGCATTTGAACACACGAGCACATATCACTTGTACTCCCCCATGTGCGTATGCGCAGCAGCAGCGGTTACGCTCTCTATTAAAACCTTAGTGTATGCATTTGTAGCCGTCGTGACATAGGCTATACTAGAGATGGTTGCCACCTAGTGAAGAAATGGAGAAACAGGTGCGGTAAAGCAGGATGATGCAAATGACTATAAGGGGACGTAGGAGGTTGCCACGGTTCCATCGGTGTGACTCCTACGGCAAGGGACAGAGACGTGAGTGCCCTGCGGACTGCGGATAGGAATGACCCAAAGAGGATAAGCGTGGGAATGCTGTGGCTGTGTTGCCCCACTGGCCACCATGCCAAGGGGATGAAATGGGCTGAATGATGGAAATGACCATAAGGGGATGAGCGTGGGAACATTGTGACTGCGTTGCCCTGGTTGCCAGCATCCTGGTGATGCTGGACGCATGCCACGGGACCGAGAATAGAGTGCGCTACCGTGATTGGGCGGAATGGCCCAAAGGGGATGAGGGTGGGAACACGGTCACTGCATTGCTGTGGTGGCCACGATGCCGGTGATACCCCACATGTGCCATGGGGCGGAGAAGGGAGTGTGCTTGGATGGATTGCCTAAAGGGGATGAGTGCGGGAACACCATGGCTGCGTTACCCTGGCTGCCACGATGCCGACGACCCCGCACACGTGCCATGGGGCGGAGAAGGGAGTGCGCTACGGCCCTTGGATGGGAGCGGCCCAAAGGGGATAGACACGGGAACACCGCCACCGGGTTGCTGCGGTGGCCACGATGCCGATGATGCCACCCCCATGCCAAGGGAGCCACGGCTGCGATGGGACAGAATGGCCTAAAGGGGATGAGTGCGGGAACATCATGGCTGCGTTGCCACGGTGTCCACGATGCCGATGATGCCACGCACGGGCCAAGGGTGCCCTGGTCATTGGCCACAGGCTCCCCCTCGGCTCTCACCGTGCTCAGGATGGACCACGCGGAAGACAGGGGCATGGGGACCACGCGGACCACGCGGAAGACAGGGGGTTTTCACGATGGCCCATTGTGAGAGGGATATACGGATAGCTTCTTCCTCCTTGTCTCCATCCACATAGTCACCTCCAATTGTGTCTTCACCCTGGCTACCTGTGGTCTCTCTGTTGTCTTTGGTAGGTTCATCATCCCCGCCTATTTCTCCTAACTCATGCTCAGCTTCTTTGAAGATGGACTTGAGGTTGATGTCTTCCGGGGCAAATTCAAGGCTTGCAAGCCGCCAATC